TATTCCTCCCCAGCCTCCTCACTGTCTGAGTCTTTGCAGGCAACAAAAGATAATCAAGAACTTAGTAAGCGGACAAAGGCGTGACCCGACAAAAGCGCGAACGTCATAAGCGCGCCGACAAAACCGCGGCGCTAAAACCGCGATGTCAAAAGCGCGTCGACAACAGCGCGCCGACAACAGCGCGCCGACAGAAGTGCGATTTAAGTTAAGGTAAGGTTTAGGATTAGGTTTAGGGTTAGGTTTAGGGTTAGGTTTAGGGTTAGGTTACAGCGCGCTTCTGTCGGCACGCTGTTGTCGGCGCGCTTCAGGACTCATTCGTCGCTCCTTCGTCGTGCGGTTTTGTCGGCGCGGTTTTGTCACCGCGGTTTAGTGAGGCGCGCTTTTCTCGTTCGCCCATTTGTGGTGGAACCAGCAGAGATGACCAGAGTCGTAATCCAGCACATCTAAAGAAGGCCAAGTTGGGGGAAAACTGAAACAGTTGCGCAGCTGCATGATGTTCAGCGTAGGATTGCATGTCTAATCTAACCTCATTAAGTATTTGCTGATTAATTTTATTAGTGGTATAAAAGGAATTCTATTATTTTGAAAGCCTGAAAGCAAATCCAAATCGCTGAATTTGAAGCCCGTCATCCCCGATGAAATTCTGGATGCACATAAGCAGAAAATTAAGGATCAGATTGCCAAGGAGAGTGCGGCACCAATCGAACATCTCAAATTGTACGATAAATACCACGATTTGATAATCAAACAAGCAGAGCGGGATATTGATCAGTTCCTCTCAGAGGACCACACATTTGAAGAAACAACAGCCGAAGTGGCCAGGTATCAAAGCATTCGTGATGACATTCAGTACAACTCCAGAAAGGTAGTGTATTCAATGAATGGCAAGTACCTCTTTATTTCATGTCACTTGATACTATATGTAGTACAACAGGTATAGTAATTTCATGATCTGTGGTACCCATTAGCGTTTAAAGCTGATACCACTAACAATTCATGGAATTATAATTAGACATAATGCTTAGCTAAGACTTTTTTTTCCCCATCAGGACTGGTTAAAAAAATCACATTGATCTCATCTGATCTTATAATAGGGTCATGCATTATTAAGCGAAGCATGAACAAACCACATTATGTTTTTGTCCTACGTATGAGCCCAGCCAGTGTATTCATCCCTGTATGTTTGCTAAAGTATGTTCTCTAACCAGTGTCCTTTGTGCTGGATCTTATATGCAGTCACTAATCACTGGCATTTAAGTCAATAGTATGGAATACATGTTTCTCATCACCGAGAAGCTAACTTTGCTTGGGGTGTTATAAATGTTCTGTATATGATGTGCTTATTGGCTTCAGTGCCAAGGGGTGAATATTGGGTATTGTGTTGTAACAGTTGGCAGGCTAATTACTCAAAAGGAATTGCTTATCCTCATTTTTTTTCCAGCTTTGGGTAGATAAGGGAGATGTTAACTCCACAATGACAAAGCCCTGTATAGAACTATAGATAGCAAAAAACACTTCTTTCTTCTTTTGGAAAGAATCAATATGGTAAAGGTTCCCCTAACACATATGTGCTAGTCATTCCCGACTCTAGGGGGTGGTGCTCACCTCCATTACAAAGCCAAAGAGCCAGCGCTGTCCAAAGACGTCTCTCTGGTCATGCGGCTGGCATGACTAAACACCAAAGGTGCATGGAGCACTGTTGCCTTCCCACCAAAGATGGTTCCTATTTTTCTATCTGCATTTTTACATGCTTTCGAACTGCTAGGTTGGCAGAAACTGGGAAAAGTAACGGGAGCTCACTCTGTTACGCGGCGCTAGGGATTCAGAATTGCCGAACTCCTGACCTTTCTGATCAACAAGCTCAGTGTTTTAGCCATGTCCCTTCATTGTGGTAGAACTGTTTTTTCCCCCCCACTAGACAGGGAAATCTACTAAGATAAGGGTATACCTGACTAAAGACCCAAGATATAAAACTAGTTTAATAAAATAAATGACAGGCTTATTGGAGAAAGCTAAAAGCTCATGTATTCTTAACAGCCAGTCAGAATTTCTTCCAATATTGTATTCATGAGATGGAACCGATTTCCCCACTTTATTTAATATAAAAAAATATAATTGTACACAGGGCCACGAGGCACATCCTTTCTTTTTTAGAATTGTTTTTAGTTTTTTCCCCCAAAATCTCCACTTTATTAATTGTTATAAATAACTCAAGGCAACAAACTTACCTAATACTCCTTCCTCTTCCTATCGTCCCCATAGCAACAATTGAGATTGGTGGGTTGAAAGAGGCCCAAAGTCACCCAGGCTGCTTTCATGCCTAAGGTGAGAGAGATAGATGTCAAATGGGGAGCACCCCCTTCCCACCCCTCACAACCACGACAGGACAGCACCTTGAAAGAGCAAGTCTTCCAGCCTTCTGCAAGGACAACTTGTGCTTCCCAAGGGCTCCCTCATTGTACAAAAATCCACTGTATCGTGTCACGTGGTTTCCTTGGCGTGGTTTCCCTGTCATGTCGCCTTAGCTTAAAAAAGAGAGAGCGAAGAGCAGGGAGACATCATAACACGAAGCAAGGGAAGTATGAGCCGAGGTGGCACAGTGGTTAGGGTGCAGTATACTGCAGGCCACTTCAGCTGACTGTTATCTGCA